CTTACAGAGATATAGACAAAATACATTTGAGTATTCAAAATTAGAAAATTTTCTTTGAAGCTTCTTTATTGATATTTTTTTTCAAAATAAAATGTTATCAAGGTGATTATCTTATCAGAAAAGTGAAATAGTACTAAGTAATCTCTATGCTATTTTAAATATACTGTCTTCTAGTTTTTCTATATAAAATTTAAAGTTATTTAAAACAATATTCATCAAGATATATTAATTTTTTTGCAAGATTTTGTTTTTTTTTAAAATTCTTAGAGAGAAAATATTTACTACTAAGGTGTTTAATTTATTTTTTCATCAGAAGACACCAAATATTACAATAGAGAGGCCTTTTTAACTCCTTATCATAATAATAACATGGCTATAAAATATATAGTAGTGTTTAAAAAATAAGTATAATTTCTTGCTTTATATTAAAAAACTATACCTATCTTTAAAGCAGTTTAGTAATAATACAGTATATACTTTTTATTAAAAGACTACTTATTAAAAAAAAAAAGTTTAAGATTTATTTATTAAAAGAGAAGATAAAAATATGTCTAAATTCTGTGTTAAAGTGAGCTTTTACTGCAACTTAACTAAGTCTTAACTAAGACTTAACTAAGTCTAAGTCTAAACTTAAATCTGATTCTTTTTTATAAGCAAGAAGAAAAGCTAGAGTTTATATAGCTTTTCTACAACTAATAAAATAATAAACATATTACAATACAAATAGTAAAAATAGTAAGAATAATAAGAATGATAAGAATAATAAGAATAGTAAAAATAGTAAAAATAGTAAAAATAATAAAAATAGTAAAAATAGTAAGAACAGTAAAAATAGTAAGAATAGTAAGAATAGTAAGAATAGTAAGAATAATAAGAATAGTAAGAATATCAAGAATGATAAGAACAGTAAGAATAGTAAAAATTATAGATAAGGATAAAATTATTTCAGGCTTTAAAACAAAACCTGAAATTAAAAGTTGAAGATGAAATTGTTTTGACTTACTTTTACTTAAAAGATGAAATTTTTTAATACTTTTTTTTAAATAGATAAAATTATAAAGAATATAATTATATAAATTAGATTTGCTCTTTTTTATAAAAAATTTTAATTTACTCTAATGAAGATGAAATAGACTTTTTTTAAAATCCTATTTTCATAGCATCTATAGTAAGAATGGTAAAAATAATAAGAACAGTAAGAATAGTAAGAATAGTAAGAATAGTAAGAATAATAAGTTCTATTCTATTGCTATTCTAAATTCTATTTTATAACACTACATATAGTTGAATATATTAAATGAATAATATCAGGATTATATTTAAAAATAAACTCTATGAGTTTGATATTATGTTTAATAAATTTAATTGTAATATTTATCACAAAAATTTTTGGTATATAATTTTATAAATTTTGCAATTGTAACTTCTGTAGTTTTTAGATTTATACTATAGTTTATATAAAGATTATTATAAGTAATAACTATAAAATTCTTATCTACTTCTAGAAAAGAATGTTCCAAATATGAAAATTATTCTGATATAGATTATATATAAGCATTAACCAATCATATCTAAGTTACCTGCGTATTAGCTAATAAAATTACAAAAAAAAAGTTGGTAAATTATAATAGATTAAACAAATATATTATAAAGCAAAATAAAAAGCATTAATTCATCTATTATAATTACTTACATTTTTATAAAAATTAAGCTATTCAAGCTTTTTTTAAAAAAAGTATTGTAAAATATATAAAAAAAAAAATTATTATTGTTTGTGTAATAATCAGATAACTCAAATAATCATTCTTATATTTGGAAAGTTCTCTCCTGAACTCACTTCTTGCATTTGTTTTATGTAAGGCTTTATAGCAGCTATGTCTTCTTGGGTTCCAGTAACAAAAAAAAGGCTATAAGCTAAAATATTATTTCTTTTTAATTCAGGGTCAACAATAATATAAAACTACCTCATCAAAATGTTTTCTTGCTTTAATAAATTTATTTTTTTTAATGTATCTTTTTTGAAAAATCAAATCATGAGTTTTAATAATTTTTGCATTAAACTTTTGGGGGCTAGTAATCGTATTCCCCAAATTTGGTATTCATATCTTCCATGCCGGTAATTTCTGAAAATCATGTTAACACGTGATGTTTCCTATATGTGATTGGTTAATATTGCTTTGCGCAACTCTAGCACATTTGTTAATGCGATATATTTATAAATTTGACAAGTAATGTAGCACAAAATAACTATAAAATATCACTAGTTTTTGATATTGTGAATCCTGTAGTACAAATACACAAGTGTCATATTAAATTATATGATTAATCATGGCTTTTTTATTATAGTGATAAACACTAAAACATTGTCATGGGTAAAATTAACCATTGTAACAATCATCGAACCAAAATTAAATGAAAGATGTGTAATTATCATCAACAAACAGCAACATAATATAACCAAATCGAGAATAGGTTAAAATTGAAAAGCCTAGGTTTTAGAATAGTGAGATGAAGTTGTAGAAAAAAATTATACAAAGTGTAGGTTTCAGATCGAATATTGATAATAAAAATCTTAATTGGGTCAAAATCCCTAAAAAACTGGCTAAAATTGAATAACTCTAATCTAATATTAGCTAACTTTGGATGATATCAAGATTTTAAATGAATCTCTCCTAATGGAATCAAAGAATAATTAGGATATGTTGACCAAATTTGTATAAATCTCAATCAAATTCGTAATAGTGTATGAAATTTAATTTTGATTTATCATTAATATCTTTTGATTTAGCGATTAAATTTTGATGATTTTAGTATCATTCGAATCATCTTATTAAGATGATTCAAAAAGTACTAAACTTATCGAAATCCAATTACTAGTCAAGAGATAATGGTAATAATTCAAAATTAAATTTCATTTACTATTACGAATTTGATTGAGATTTAACTAAATTTGGTTGATGTATTCTGTAGTAGGAAAGTAAAGATAAAAGTTCTAAAACAGTACAATCAGTTAGTAGCTAAAAAATGTATAAAATAACAAAATATTAAATAAAAATCCTATCTTTTGTGTCTTCAAAAAAAAAAACACTCCCAAATTATCTTTACATCCTTCTATAAATCTTTCGAATCAATCATTAATTTCTCTTGAAAAGTAAGCATGCTTCTACTAGGACTTAAGCCCACTCATCTGCCAACCCGGGAACTGATACTTACTGTAGTTATCTGGAATAATTATACTTACCTGATTGATCCATAAAAATTTTTTATGCATCGTTATTAGCATTGTTAGGGCCTGACCTGACTTGTACAATTTTATATTTATTATTTTAGTCATAGAGTCAATTGAGTCGTTAGCATCCTATGCATCTTTTTATGTACTTATATAATTTTAACCCAGTTAACTGGGTCAACTGAATTATTTAGGCAGCTCAATTTTGTATTCCAGTAATAATTTTATATTCCGGTTTGTAATCCGGAAAGCAAATTTTATATGGGCTTAACCCTTAGCTTTTACTGCCTCCAGACACCTACAATAGTGCAGATGAACTCTTTGAAAGTGTTTAAGCATTCGCAAAATTACAAGGATATGCATTGGTAAAAAAAAGAACTCGTAAAGATAAGTATGGTGAATTGAAGAATATGGAATTATGCTGTGACCAGGATGGCGTGTACAACAATTCTTTAGGCTTAACTGAAAAAACATGCACTAGACAAAGTAACACCAAACTAATCAATTGCCCTTTTGAATTGTATGCGGCTAGATATGGTGATCGATGGAGTTTTGAAATCCATAATTTAGAGCATATATATGATCCTTCAAGTGATATGTCAGGACACCCAATTGCCCGAAGACTCATAGAATAGCAATTAGAAACTGTTGTAGCAATGACTGCTGCTGGATCACATCCCTGGGAAATTATTTCAACCCTTCGTCAAAATGATAAATTAACGTTAATTACTAATAATGATATTTACAATACACGTAAAAAGCTTAGACAACAAAACTTGGCAGGCCATACCCCGATTTAGGCTCTTATCGATAATCTTCACAAAGGGAATTTTTTTTATGATTATGAATATGATAACAATGGATCTGTTAATTATCTATTTTTTGTACATAATGAGTCCATTGCCCTTATCCGTCAATATCCATTTGTCCTTTTCATAGATTGTACCTACAAAACAAATAAGCTTAAAATACCTTTATTAAATGTTACAGATATAACTTGCCTTAATACTACTTTCTTTTCTTGGTTTATCTTTATGAAAGGTAAGAATGAGAATGATTACAGGTGGGCTTTAACACATGTCACTTGCTTGTTTAATAGAGTATCAAAACCTGGAGTTATTGTAACAGACAGAGAGCTAGCTCTCATGAATGCACTTGAAATAATCTTTCCCGATTCAATAAATTTGCTTTGTGTGTGGCACATAAGCAAAAATATCTTAAAAAACTGCAAGTCGCAGTTCCCCAAAGAAACAAACAATAATGAAGACAATGAATAGAATAGTTTCTTTAGAAAATAGAATGACATTGTTAACTCTGAAACTGAAGATGATTTTAATATAAAATGGGAAAATTTCTGTTCTACCTATAATAATAAAGCCAGTGTTATATCTTATCTTAATGAAATGTGAATACCATGAAAGACACAATTTGTAAAGGCATAGATGAATAGAACTCTTCACCTAGAAACAACTGTAACCTCCCACATTGAAGGCTTATATGTGACTCTCAAAGCATACCTACAAACTTCAACAGGGGACCTTTATAGAGTTTGCTCAATAATTACTCTTGCTATAACCAACCAAAAAAAAAAAATTGATCCAAGAATTGAATTAGAACGCATTAATATTCCACTTTTTGCACATAACAATATGTTGTATATGAATTTTAGAGATCAAGTTTTAACCTTCGTTCTTAAAAAAATAAATGAGCAGTGTCAAAAAATTATTTTGAAAAACCATTACTACCATATACTGGAACTTTTTCAAGAACAATGGGTCTACCTTGTGGCTATTATATCCAAAATTTTGAAAATAATCATAGCCTGATACTTGATAATATCTATAAAAATTGGTGAATTCAAGGGTACACACTAGTACTACAAATTGAAGGTATATTTTATGGTGAGAACTTACTACAGCCTCTCTTACAGAATCTAGAACAAAAATACCAGGAATGGCCTGAACATCAACAAACAGAAGCCAGAAAAGCATTAAATAATATAATAGATAGCCCACTTATAACTTTGCAGAACCCCCAAGTAGTTCGTACTAAAGGACGTCCTTTTGGTGCTCAAAATTGGCAACCAACTAGCTCAACAACAAGAGACTTCTCTGGTTTTGAGTTGGTTGATAATAAAGTGAGGCAATATAGTATTTGCAAACAGTCTGGTCACAATGCTCATACTTGTTTAAATAGAAGTACAGAATAAAGAATTAGTATGTTTCATTTGATTCGTTTTTATGTAAACAAGTTTATAATCAATAATATTTAGCTTTAAATAAAATCATGTTTTTATCTAAAAAAAAAAAAAACAGCAGTAAAAATAAAATATTGGTTGTTTAAATTATTTTATATTTGAAGTGATGCTAATCAAATATAGAAATCAAGAATAAAAATTCAGCTCAACCTTTACCTCTATGAAATTAAATTCGATTGTTTTATTATTAGCTCTTGCTTAATTTTTAAGCAAAGAACATATATAGTAAAATTTTAAATATTTGAATTATTGCGATCTTGTTTATTCTTTGCCCTTACGTGCAACAGTATTGGCCAATCACATATAGGAAGCGTCACGTGTTAACGTGATTTTCGGAAATTACCGGCATGGGAGGTACGAATACCAAATTTGGGGGTACGATTACCAGCCCCCTAAACTTTTTTGTATTAACGTTAAATATAGAAATCCGTGTTTTTTATATCTGGTTAAGCCCAGATAAAATTTGCTTTCCGGATTACAAACCGGAATATAAAATTATTACCGGAATACAAAATCGAGTTGCATAAATAATTCAGTTGACCCGGTTAACCGGGTTAAAATTATATAAGTACGTGAAAAGATGCATGGGATGCTAACGACTCAATCGACTCTATGACTAAAATAATAAATATAAAATTGTACAAGTCGGGTCAGGCCCTAACAATGCTAATAACGATGCATAAAAAATTTTTATGGATCAACCGGGTAAGCATAATTATTCCGGATAACCACAGTAAGTATCAGTTCCCGGGTTGGCGGGTGAGTGGGCTTAAGCCCTACATGTAATCCATGTAATCTGCATAGCAAATTTGATCATCATGATTTGATTGATGATTATCTGCACGTGATCAGTTCATTCATAGGTTTATAAAGCAGCGCATTTCAGTATGTTAATGACTATCAACCACGATACATACATATCACAAGAGTGAAAATGCATTCCTTTACTAAAGTAGCTCGACCCCTTTCAGGATCTCGTCTATTATTAAAATTTAAGAAGCTTCATCCTTATTCAGAAGTTTCGCCTTTCACAAAGGATTTTGCTTTTCGTCGTTTAACTCAGGTGGTTTCACCTAGCATCAATGCTTTAGGCTTTGAAGCAACTTCAGTAGAAAAGCCAAATCGACCTATTTATCTTGATCTACAAGCTACAACTCCTACTGATCCACGCGTACTCGATGCAATGATGCCGTATTTGACGGAACAGTATGGTAATCCACATTCAAGGACTCATGCATATGGCTGGGAAGCTGAAAAAGCAGTTGAACAAGCTCGAGCAGTAAGTTAATAGACTTTTCTAATTTATAAAATATTAAAAAAACTCATAAATTTATTTTAATTGACAGCATGTAGCTAATTTAATTAAAGCGGATCCAAAAGAAATAGTTTTCACATCAGGAGCTACAGAATCGAATAACATTAGTGTTAAAGGCGTTGCTCGATTTTATAAAAGTAGCAAGAAACATATTATTACAACTCAAATTGTATGTATCAAAAAATTTTAAAAAAGAGAATTATATAAAATAACTTATTTGATCAATTGTATTTAATAGGAACATAAATGTGTCCTTGATTCATGTCGAGTTCTTGCTGAAGAAGGGTTTGATGTCACTTATTTACCTGTTCAACCATCAGGTCTTATCGATTTAAATCTTTTGGCTGAATCTATACGTCCAGATACATCGTTAGTATCTATAATGACAGTTAACAATGAGATTGGCGTGACACAGCCAATTAAAGAAATCGGTCAAATTTGTCGGTCAAAAAAAGTATTTCTTCATACTGATGCTGCACAAGCGGTTGGAAAAATTCCTCTCGATGTTAACGAAATGAATATTGATCTTATGAGCATTTCAGGTCATAAGATTTATGGACCAAAAGGGGTGGGTGCATTGTATGTACGTAGAAAACCAAGAGTTAGGGTTGAGGCACTACAAAGCGGTGGTGGACAAGAAAGAGGATTGAGAAGCGGAACTGTACCTACACCATTAGTTGTAGGACTAGGTGAAGCATGCAAAATTGCCAAGGAAGAAATGGAAGTAAGTATAAAATTACAATATATAATTTTTCAAGATAAAATAAGAGACGTTTAAACTTAATAATATATATATACTTTTTTTTTTAATTTCTGTAGTATGATTCAAAACGTGTTAAAAAACTTTCGCAAAGACTGGTTGACGGAATTATGGGAAAAGTTCAGCACGTTGTTCGCAATGGAGATCCAAATGCAAGTTATCCAGGTACGTATTAAATCAAGATTCTTTTTTGTTTTAAAGACTACTTAAAGTTTATGATGTTTCTAGGTTGTGTCAACCTCTCATTTGCCTATATTGAGGGTGAATCACTTTTAATGGCTCTTAAAGATATTGCGCTTTCATCTGGTTCAGCATGTACTTCTGCATCCCTGGAACCTTCTTATGTTTTACGTGCATTAGGCGCTGATGATGATATGGCACATTCGAGCATTAGATTTGGTATAGGAAGATTTACTACAGAGCAAGAAATTGATTTTGTTGTAAACAAAGTTGTACAACACGTTGACAAACTAAGAGAAATGTCACCACTTTGGGAAATGGTGAGTACAAATTTTTATATTTGATTTTAAAATATTAAGTGATAATTAAAAAAAAAAATTTTTTTCTTTTTTTAGGTTCAAGAAGGCATAGATTTGAAGTCAATTCAATGGAGTCAACATTAATTATTAATTATGAAATGAGAATTTAGTTTTAATACCGCATTTTCTTTTTTTTTCATAAGTTATTCGGTTTTGCAGATTAATTTGGATTGGATGATATTTTTTTTTAGATGCAATTTATATATATTTAGGTTTATATGCATATGCATTTTTCGTTTAAATTTTGGATGGCTTAGCATTTAATATAAAAATGAAAAAATTCCATTGTATTATAAAAAAACTTACTGTATCTTAACTGTATATATATATAATAAGAACCTATTCTTTCTCAATAATATAATCGAAATAGTCACCAAATTGGGGTTCATATGCAGTAATAAAAATGCCATTGATAAACAGGCTTGATCATGAGTTAAAAAGTTAATATTAGATAATCAGACCATTCCAGCATTTATATAAATCAGAGTTGGATATAATGTAATTACGTAAATTTATTTTTATTTGTAATTTTAGAACAAATCAAATCAAATCAAATTTTTAAGAGGAAAGGCCTAATCAAGTTCATTATTGGGGCAAACATTTCTCCTGATTACTAATGTTTTACTGACTGAACAAGTTTAGATAGCTACTATCATATGAGAATATTGATTCTGCATGTTGTCCATTAGGTTCCTTGCAGCATTTGTAGGTCTATTATCACGTGTTCATAAATCAATGATGACTAATCATAAGCGAAACTTGTTAATTCACGAAACACGTAAAGCTAAAACCCAATGCTGCAGTATTTAATTTCGGTCACAGACAAATATATAATTGAAATTACCGGCAATTTGTTCCATAAATACGCAATACAGTTTCCGATCAGTATGTAATATTTACATATTTTGCCGTGTACCCGAAATCAATATTTTTATTAGAACCGATTGGTTAATTATTTAAAATTACTATTACCTAATCTGTTAATGAATCGCGGATCAAAAAAAAGGGTTATATAGATAAAAACAGAACGAATGAGCTCTTTGGCTTGAAAATCACCACTCCAGAATTTCCGATCGAGCTAATTCGGACAAAAACAAACCCGAGTACCGTTTTTCATAAAAATCTTTTTATTCTTGAACCAATACAGTAATAAAAGATTATTTACATATAAACAGGAACCGGTACTCGGATTGTATTAGTCCGACCGGAAATATCGGAGGAGATTTTCAAGGCAAAAGACCTAAATAACGGTTTATTAGATTATCATATCCAAATATATATATAGTAAAACAATTATGCAGTTCTAATAATAACAAATATGGAAACTGGAGAATATTAAGTAATTGTCTTGTACATCTAGAATTTAAATAATCCGCACATTTATGCAAGATGCCGGGCAACGCAAATTTAGCTTGGGTTAATTAAAACCATCAAACACGTTTTAAAGTAAAAAAAAAAAAAAAAAACGTTTCAATTAGATTATTTCCATAATGGATATAGTTAAATTCTAATTGAGTTTCAATCCCAAAAAAGTTAACTAAGCATTTTCTTTTGATAACTATAAACCAAAATACTGTAACATAACGATACATAGCGATACATAAAGTATGTTATATAAAATAAAGTAAAATAAAATAAAATAAAATAGATCAAATATGTATCTATTTTGTGCAGCCAAGAAAAAACTGGTAAATCGGTTGATTGCTTCAGATCGATAATATCGATATGCAATACCGATATCTAAATTGATAGATAATCATAATACAGGATTGGAACAAGATGAAAGTTAATTTTTTTTTTCCCTCATTTCGATTTATTGTAATTTCGTATTATAGCTAATTTAAAAGGATTATAGTCTATAGATTTGTAGCTATAAGTAATGGAAATCAAAAATAAGCAATGAATGGGCCTAAGCAATAGTATAGTAATTTTAATAAATATACGTATTAAACAACTTTTTTTTTAATCTTTGGTCAATTCAATAAAAATTGGTAATGAATTTTTTTAGTATCGTATTAGACCCAAACAAAAATCATAATTTTCACTCAATATCAAATTTTAATACTAAATTTTAATACCAAATTTTAATTAAACTATCAAAGTTATTATGTATAATAATTATTATAATTATAACACTAAATCTTTTAAATTTTGAGTTAATATAATATCTAGAAAATACATAAAATAGGATTAGTAATTATTATTAAAATATATAATGTATGCATAGAATTACGAATAAATGAATTAATTACCAGTTACACTGCCCATTATATGTCTTAACAAATTTGTATCCGTGGCGTTTGTAAAATGTGGATAGATTTCTTTTGAATCGCTTCGATTAAGTCGTTGAAATCTACGTTTAAAATAGTGTGATGTGGATTTAAAATCATCACTTGGGCCTAGCGAAATGAACCGAACAATTATAATCAAAGATTATATTTATTAAAACACATTTAAAATCGCAAAGATGATTTTTACCTGTATAATCAGGAAAATATTTATTGATAGGTGATATTTTTATTTTTTCCTTGAAAATATCGATCTTGTTCAAGAATAAGATCATCGAAGTATTTACAAACCATTGAGAGTTACAAATAGAATCAAAAAGCATTAAAGCTTCCTGCATTTGATTCTAGAAAAGTAAAATCAAATTATAGAGTCAGTTTGTAAAGTTATTAATATAACATGAAATGAAAATTATAAATATAACATAAAATGAAAATTAATGAAAATTAATGAAAATTAATATAAAACTTACAGCATCTTTATCTTCAACTAAACACTGATCATAACCACTAATTGCCACTAAGAATAATACAGCTGTAACATCCTCAAAACAATGAATCCATTTTTTTCGCTCAGACCTTTGACCACCAACATCAAACATTCTAGGGATAGATTTAATTAAATATCAAAAAGAGTAATTTATAAAGACATACTTTATCACGTAACATACCTATATGTTAATGGGCCTAAGTAAAATACAGTTTCCACAATTCCTGTTGTTTTCATTCTACAACGTATAATATCTTGGTTTGTTGGCACATATGATTGAGAAAATACTCTGTCTAGTGACTCAAAAAAACTTGAAAAAAAAAAATTGGAAATTGAATTAAAGAGTGAGTAAATGCGTATTAAATAATAAAGTAGAATTGCTTACTATGTCATATTATCGTGTAATGCGTATTGGTTACCCATCATATAACATTTCAGTACACCATTATCACTCCATAAAGATTTTAATGGTTCTAAATAATTCACCGGAAAAGGTTGATCTTTAGAAATAGTTGGAGGTGTACTAAACATTGAAACATATTGCTATATAAAAAAACATTTAGATAATAAATAAAAAAATAAATTTACGCGTTAATGTTTCACGGGAAACAAAAAATAAAATAAAATAAAAGTTTACCTACCATATTTGAAGAATTACTAAATGGTATTTTATAATATTCCATTGCCTCAAGAACCAAACTCATTGAATCCATGATATTTAAAAATACGATTGATCTGTATGTTTCTCGTTCAGTAGAATTAAATCCCGATGCATGAATAAGACGCATTTGTTTAAGAATTGTACTTTTACCGGATTCACCAGCACCTTATAAATATTATTTTATAAAATATATATTTAATTTTACGATAATTAAGCCCGAGTATCATTAAATAATTTTATAAAAAAAAAAAATCTACCCAGTAAAAGTAATTTGACCTCGGTTTTCATTCTCTTTTCATCTTCTTTAATGGTTTTATTTATACGTCTATTGGTGCTGTCACTAGATCCACAATTTCCCATTTCTTTTATTTGTTTATTATTATTATTATTATTTTTCGCTTTTAGTATATAATAAACCCAAGAGGAATAGACAGACAAATACGTAGAACACCCAAATAGATATGCAAAAGAAAAAAGTTCAGTGAGCTCGGATAAAAAGAAGAGAGGAATGAAAATTTTTAAAATAAACAGAAATTGATAAAGTGAAAATTGAAGGGGGATGTACGTACGTACATTTATATGTGACACGTATTTTATAATAAATATTTTTCCCGATATCGATATACATGCATACGGATTTGTCTTGTCATTGTGCGACAGAGTTTAAATAATGGCCGTTAAAAAAAAAGTTTCTTTAACAGTTATCATTAGTATTTAAATTAAAAATTCGGTCTTTGAAACATCCAAGGAGTCGATATTAGCCATATATATAAAATGCATATCGGAATAAAGATATGTACAAAAAGCAAGTTTCGCGTATTCCGATAAGTTTAGAATTTTATAAGCTTTCGTATTTATCAAAGCATCTAATTTCTGGTGAATTTTCGCATCATCTGGTTCTATTTAGAAGAAATCCAAATTTGAACTTTGGACAAAACTCCGGGTGAGACCAAACACATGATATATAATTATCACAAACCTAGAATCCTTTCTTTTCCAAGACAATCGAAGTCTTTGTTTATATTTTTGGCATTGAAGGAATAAACATAAACAATATAATACAAAAGGGAGATAATAAGATTTTTTTTTTTTGTCCTCTATCATAAAATAAAAAAATTATTAAAAGCATGTAATCATGAAAGGAATTTAAGGCGGAAAATTGACCAAAATTTGTTTGTTATGATTTATCATTATTTATTATATAATCATATATATAAATATATATATAATATATCTGACAGTATGGAATGTATACGTACAGTATAACTCCTGAATGGCTCCTTTACCTATTTCAAAGACTGCACATGGTAAAAGTAGCTACACACGTTATGTACATACGTACGTACGTACGTTTATATGTGCATAATTACACACGTGATAATTTCAATTAAAATTTATACATACACACATAACAGCTGCAAACTAATTGGTATTTTTGAAATTCACAATATCAGATATAATCAGATATAATTAAAAGTAATATATATCTTTGAAAAAACTCGAATACATATATAGGCACACTTAAATTGATATCGATATAGAATGATGCATATAATGATGCATATAATGACGCTATTTATTGAATATATTCTACGTATCATTAATTTATTTATTTATTTATTTATTTATTGTTATTTGAAAAATGATACGTAGTATAATATGTATATATTTAAGTATACACGGCTCGTGCTTCACTGATAAAAGAATTTTAGCTTGATATATATCGATATGTCATTGCGAAAATATAATTGGTGTTGAAATTACTGTTACCAATAGGATTGGATCTGTCCTGTCTTAGTAAGCTTGATTTTCTTCTGGCCGCAGGACCTAAATCTCGAATATTAGTCAGACCTCTCTATAGTCACTCCATATCATTTTTAATAAGTACATATATATATATATTTAAAAAAAAGCCGACGTTTTGGGTCTGACCGTTAACGTATGTAAAAATTTATTGATATCTAATCTATTTATTTGCCGTAAATTTTGTATTAGAACAGGAAACTATTCAATCCGTCTTTTCTAGTTAACAATTGTACTAAATCATAATCTTATTTTCTAAATCATAATCTTATTTTGTATTTATTAACCTATATATGATAGTACTAATATAGTGAATTTGTGTAAATCTTTAATTAATGGCCGCTTGACATAAAATCACTTACGTACGTCAATTTTTAATGTCGATTATTTTTACTGATTTCGACTAGCTCTAGTCACGGTTTACTGTATTAGTTAAATTTGTTATTTTAACTATTATTCTAGAAAACGACTCTACAAAGACCTTATAATAAAGTAATAAAGGCCTTTATTTCAAAAAAACATCTATTACAAAGAATTCGTAAATCGTTTATACTAATAATAGATCCAGGTTACCTCGATGACAAATCTCTTATAGCTCTACCCGTACCTTAACATACTTCATTAATGAAATAACTGATAGAATGAACTTTTCTTATAAACAATGAATTAATTTTCTTAATTGTTTGGAACGTAGCAGATAACTCAATTTCTATGTGGAGTGATGCAAATTTCCTTTATGTATTGCATTCATGCTGTAAAATATTAAACTGCACATAATCCTGATATTTATTGCGTAGCATATGCGAAGCATATTTAGCATATTTATAGAATTAATTTTTATTAAGTTTTGTTGAAGAATGGCTAATAATTATTAAATGTTATACGTACTAATATTAGAAAATTTTGAAATATTAACAAATTATTAAAAACTAACAGATTATATATGAATTTATTTAGTATAAAATAATTTTAACTTCAATACGTACATTTTATAAAAAAATTTAATATCGCATTCTAATGTATCTAACATATTTTGCGTCTGGGAAGTGATACACTCATCCAGAAATGTAGCTGCAATTTGAATTTACAGAATTACACTTCTAAGTGTTATTTTGCGTGAATTAACTATGTATAACAATGCCAAGACTTAGAATCGATTGTTGGAATCAAGTATAATAAAAAAAAATGCGTAAAAATTTAAAAATTTAAAAATTTGGCATGCCAAATGGCTGCCATTCGACTTTCTACCGCATAGCTAGTCGAATGACTGTCAAATGGCAACTATTCGGCTAGCCATTAGGCATGTCGAATTTTTAAACATTTACTAGTATCTTCTAAATTTCCAACTACAAGCTTAACTCTTTTTCGCACTTCACAAATTCAAGATTCACTTTTTTATACTTCAAATTTTCAACTACTCCAGTTTTTCAATCTATCAAATTTGTTCTTTAAATATTAATGGTTTTAAAACAAACTCCAAACAAAGTTTTATAAACGACTATATCTTAGAAAACAACATAGATATTTTTGAAATTTCAATAACACATATTCTGCAAAAAAAAATCAAATATCTTATAATTACTCAATCTACTTATTATATTGAAGTTACTTAGATAATCTAAAACAAAATAATATTAGGATACTTATTCAAAAAAAAATTTCTTAAAATTATTGGCAAAATTCAAAAATACAAAAAGTTTATACTTTGTATTAACTTTTTTTTTAAAAATATTATATATATATTATCTAATTCAAAAGAAATAAAAACTAAAAAAAATATATTTATTAAAATACAATTTATAATTTAATTATAGAAGATTTTAATATAACTTTAAAAGTAGAGTATATATAGATTAATTTTCATATAATTTATATAATACAATAAAATTTTAAAATCTACTTTTATATATTAAAAACTCAGATTAACTCAAATTTATCTAAATTGTACTGTATAAAATTTTTTTTTGGTATTAAGATAATCTTTTTGGCTCTCTTTTTATTAAAAGTATTATTTTGAATTACAATAAAAATACAACTAGCTATATGTATAATTTTTAATTATTTATTTTAAGTAGTCTGCTTTAGGTTTTATACTAGTTATTAAATTTGCAATTTAATTAAAAAATTATCTATTTAAACTTTTTAATTTTTACAATAAAAGTATAGCTAGCTATATATATAACTTTAAATTATTTATTTAAGTAGTTTGTTTTAGGTTTTATACTAGCTACTATATTGCAACTAACTAGAATTATTTATTTAAACTCTTTAATTCATATCTTTAATTTTACTAAATAAAACTTTTAACTTTTAATTATTTTAAAAATAAGTCTGTTGGATTTCAATTATATTTTAAAACTATTTATTTTTAGAATTAATAAATTTGTAATCATAAGTTACTATAATCATAATTAAGATCAGATAATCACAATTTTTTTTTTATAAAATAAAACTTTGCAACTAAGAGTAGTTAGAGTAAGACTAGAAATAGAAAAAAGTATAATTTATATCAAAATTTAGCAAAAAATTTTTTATATTAGAATGTAAAAGATAGTTTTATAATCAAAATTTTGAGTTATTAATGATTTTTTTTAAAAAAATAGTTTTTGTTTTGATTTCACATTATACCTGATCTTAAAATTTAATTGGCTTTATTGGATATGATTATAGTAACTGTAGTAGGTATTATTATGAAACAGCTTTAGACAATATTTTGAACAATTTTAGACAATCTTGAACAATTAAATAAAGTAAAATTACTTAAAATTTTATTAAGATAATCTATTTTAATTTTAATTAA